CACACACACACACACACACATCGCACAGTATTGCTGCGTTTGTGCAACAGCACCTGCGCCTTTAAGAGCATCTCTCAAAGCATCCTCCCCCTATGGCACGGACGCGCACACACCCGCTCAATATTAGAGAATACAGACTAGCTTTCCGCACATACATCATTATATAGATAGGCTGAATCACAGCGTCACATAATTACATGTGTCTGAATTATTTTTCCCCTGGACATTGATGTATCTGCCTCTAAGGTCGCCGTAGCGGTCCACCCGATCGTTATCCGTTTGGTTTTCCTCCTTCCTGCATCCAAAGACTGATCCGACAAGATGGCTGAGTTGAATTTGGGGAAGGGGCTGACTGCTGGGAAAGTGGCCAGCAACGTTCAGAAAAAACTAACCAGAGCCCAAGAAAAGGTAAGAGATGCGTCTTTACACGTTGATATATGGTTAATATATTTCAGCCCTACAAGCCGCCAAGCAGCACTGCCGCATCCTCCAAGACGCAGTGTCGCATCACGACATATTATTAAGAGCAGGGATGCTGTATTTAGGGATGGGGATGTGCACTTCTTATACAACCTTCCTTCGGTCAGTCTCACACAGCATACACGGCCATAATGCAGAGAGACAGGCCCACTCATAATTTAGCCAGTGACTGACGTGTTTGTAGGATTTACTGTAATTAAATAACTGGGTGTCTTAATGAGTCACACTGATGGTGACTGAAGCCCACTTTCTTGCATGTTGATAGCATCATGGTTGTGTTAAACGCCCATATTGTAATATGTAGTTATAGATGGTACATACAGTAAGAGGCCTAGTCTATGCGTTCGTGCACCTGATGGCTGCGCGCTGAATAAATGGCGGGGAGCGTTAAAATGCATCATGAACTGTGGGGCTAAGAGACGGATACAAACGGATAGGCTTAATGGTACAGTACCCTTGTAAAGTCAATGCACCTTTTATATGTGTGAATGTAACAGGAATATGAAATTGGCTATAGTGTCCCGTAGATTTGGCTTATTTTTGAAATTATAAATGTGCTTAATTACTGTATGTTAAACACAACTAGTATTTTATACAGTCTGTTCCCATTTCTTATTGTTATGTTGTACGAATGTGCGTGTGTGTGTGTGTGCACCTGGTGTTACTCAGCCTCCATGTAAATCACTGCATTTTAGGGTGATGACTTGGTTGAAGGTTAGGGCGAGGGGAGGACAAGTAGTGGTTATGGTTAAGATTAGGGTATGTCTCCAGGAAATGAATATGAGCCAATGCAAAGTCCCCATGGGGAATGAAAACAAACGTGCACGTCTTTGTTTGTCATAAACTACTTTTGCAACAAGTACATTTTTCCATTCATGCAAATAAATCATGTTTGAACTCCATCTTGTAAGAGTGAAAGAGATCAAGACAGACAAACAGATGGATCAGCACCTGCTCCACATTTTTTAGGAAACACCAAAAACTGACATCTTGTCTTTTATTGTTTAAACTGAGCGGGTGAAATTGCTACAGTTACCCTTGATTTTGACCCAAATGTTGTTATTTGTTTAATGGACAGGTTCTCCAGAAGCTCGGCAAAGCTGATGAGACCAAAGATATTGCCTTTGAGGAGGAAGTTATCAACTTCAACAAACAATATGTGAGTGCTTGTAATGCCTTTCTACTTGACTCCTCACACAGCATTTGTGTTCAGAGTGGCATGTGTTATGATTCACCCACAGGCTGAAGGCAGCAAACTGCAGCGGGATCTTAGAGCGTACCTGGAGGCAGTGAAAGGTGAAAGGACCTGTACAGATATAGTCACTTTAACTCGCAAATATAAATTCCCTCTAATGTGCAATATGTGGATTTGTCCTCAGCCATGCATGAGTCCTCCAAGAACCTGCAGGCATGTCTGGGTGACATGTATGAGCCAGAGTGGTATGGCAAGAGTGAAGTGGATTCCATTTTGGAGGTCAGACACACTTATTTGAATGTATATAAAATACTGTGATTTCCTGTATATGTGAGAGAGTGATGTGCTGGTTTCCATACAGAGGTCAAAACACTGTTGTATATGTTACTGGTGTGTTTTAGCTGATGGAGTATGTGTGTGTGAGTGTTTGACAGGGGCATTAGCTAATAAGCTAGTAAACTCATCAGGAGTCCAGCAGATAGGGATGAAACAGTTACGGGCTTCACTGTAAACCATGGTAAAACGGGATAACACATAACACATAGGACTGTGATAATATTAATAACTATGATCATTTTCATCAATATAATAATGATATACAATTTTCATAGTGTTTCATCTCTACAAGCAGCTATAGAAAGTGGTCTGTGGTTCTCTTTTATTTTGATTTGTTTTTATTTTAATCTTATTTAATCTGTTACATTGTGTGTTTGTGATTGTGCATCATGCCATGATGTTGATGCATGCCACAGGACTGTGATGTGCTGTGGACCGATTACCACCAGAAGCTGGTTGATCATGCTCTCATCTCCATGGATACTTACCTGGGCCAGTTCCCTGATATCAAGGTAAGCTGTGTGGTCCTAGAGATGTATAGCATCGAGTGTCCATGAGGTGGCAGCCAGGGTGGAAGTGCACATAATACTGCATCATACTTAACTATAGTTTTAATGATCACACACCGTTTGTATTTCATATAACACTAATACTCACTCTCTTTTTTCTGTTCGGTTCAGGCTCGCATAGCTAAAAGGGACAGGAAACTGGTCGATTATGACAGCGCCAGGCACAACTATGCTGCTACGCACAAGACTAAGAAAAAGGACGGGGCAATTAAAATTACCAAGGTGATTCAGATACACCATAGTTGGTTACTGCACACTGCTAATCATGTTTATAGTCACATACTGTAAAAGTCAACAGTCATTTTTTGTTAGCTAAACCAAATTTAACATATTTTTAACATAATAATAATTGAATGATATCTTCCAGCCCTCCTCATTGCTGGAGAGGGCCACTCCAGGCTGGGCTCAGGGTATCCTGTCTGCACACAACATTGCCCAGAGCAGTCTGTCCAGAAGCCAGGTACCCAGTAATCTTACTGTACTTCCTGCTGTACATTGTCTGCTGACTCTGAAACAAGCATCTTGGTCACCCAGCAGCCAGAGACTGTTAGGATATAACAAGGAGGTTCCCACTGCTCCTTTTCACTGCCTGTGTTTTGTGTCACTTGTTGTATATCTCATGAAAACAAAATGAAACTGACAACAGCGAAGCAACTTAGCTAAACGGCACTGAAGCCTAATCATGAATGGCAGGAGTTGTTACACACACACACACACACACACACACACACTACACATAATTTGTTAACAGTACATAGAACTAACACTGATGAACATGCCCTAATGTGCAGTGCCAACACACTGTCTGTTTCAGGCTGAGGAGGAGCTGGAGCGAGCTCAGAAGGTGTTTGAGGAGATTAATATTGACTTACAAGAGGAGTTACCTTCATTGTGGAACAGGTGTGTGTGTGTCTGAATATCTGTGGAAATTGATTTTCCTATTGATGAATGGATGCTATATTTACACTTAACTTCACCTCGCTGTGCTTCCTTTACCCTTACAGCACGTTGAACTAAGTCAAGTCAGTAACACAGTCAATACTGTCTCTTTTCTTTAGTCGTGTTGGGTTTTACGTCAGCACCTTTCAGAGTTTGGCTGGTTTCGAGGAGAAATTTCACAAGGAAATAAGCAGGGTGAGACTCTTCTGCAAACCTCCCGTAGTGCTACATTTAGATAAAGACCAGATAAAGAAGATGGAAAATACAATTTTGTCCCTGTGAAACAAAACTGAGACAGGGGATTTTAACTAACTGCAGTGAAATTATCTACTGCAATACTGCTTTAGCCTGAGAGCTTCTCTGAATTTGGACATGATGATGCAAACAAGCTGTAGCAAACAGAAAATGCAGAAATGTTTTCAAATGCATTAACAATAAAAATAAAAAAAATCTAACCACATACATTTACTTTGTTATTATGGGTTATTGAGCGCAGATTGATGGACAAAATGTAAATTGTGTCAATTTAAATTAAATCTTAACAGTTAAAATGGCAGAAAGTGAAGGAGTCTGAATAATTTCTGCAGCCACTGGATGTAAAGGGTAGAAATGTGGAAATGGATAAAGATGCTGTTGGGTTAATGATGTGCTGGTGGCATTGTTATTTCTAATATCTTACACCCCGTCTTTCCCCTTTTTGCAGTTGGATCAGGATTTATATGATGTCTTGGTGAAATTGGAGCAGACAGACATAACCAGGTTAGTGATTAAAAATGAGTAAATCAATTGATCTCATGGCAAGACGTCCTACTACTAGTAGTTCATAGGAGATTCATGGATGTAGTTTTCATCAGCTGAAATGTCTACACAAAAACACTAATATGTTCTGTATCGGTGGGTCCTTCCAAACCTGGGCCAAAATAAACCTTTTCAGAAATGCTTGCAAATATGTGAACCTCTGGAGATCACATAATTCATTGAGCATGTTGAACATAGTGTGCTACATTAAAGTTAAAATAGCAGTTAAATTTGACAGCAAGGTTATTTTTAGTGCACCCATTTATTTTCCAATTAGTGTGTTACTGTAAACCGACTCATAAAACGTTTTCTTCCTTTTAATTTTTAATTTTTAAGGATCACAGCATCACAAAACCAGTATCTTTTACTGCCATAGTAGAGTGGTCCACTCATTTGTCCATTTATTCTTTTTTTTAGAAGGCACACACACAGAAATACCTTGCTGGAACAAAACACATATTTTCTGTGTTAAACATCAACAGAGGAAGTTCCTGTGACATCTTAAGTGGAAAAATGAACTAAAGAGTTTCATGATCCTACAATATTAAACTGATTATTTTACTTATTAAAGTTGAAAGTAGATATCTATGTTCCTTGTTCTGACTGGAAAATATGAGAGCCGTGAGTTAAAGTACTACAGAAACATTTTAAACTATAGCAAAAGGCAAACAGAATGGGTAGAAATAGGTCCACACTAGTCAGTGTTAATTTAATGCTGTCCAAAGTGTTAAGGTTTTAACACTTTTTGTGTCAGTTTCTCGACACTCAGTGCCATTTTGCAACACCAGTGAATGCCTCTATCGCTGCTCACTTGTGAACATTTACAGGAGGCAAAGAGAAAGCTTGCTTGCATGGGAGGGGAGGGATGGTGGGATGGGAAGGGAGGTCCACTGTTCTTGCATGACAACCTCCACTTGGACTCTCGTAGAGCATGCTTTGTAACTTCTAGTTGTGTTTTAGCTTTTAGCCACTCTCTTTAACCTTTGCTGTTCACTTCTCTCACATTGCTTTCTCTGCAATCTGCCTGTATTCTGTTTTTGCCCTCCATCTCTCTGTCTTTTATTCACTTAGTGGTGATGAACCATCTAACCACACTCTCAGGCCAGGAGGACCACCCCCAATTCCCAAATCTCCATCCAAGGTAGAAACACCCACACACACATACATGTATGCACACACATGTGAAAGCTGTCTCTTTTTTGAAAGGTATAAGAGCTGTACCACTGAATTATGGCTGCATTTCATGTAGAAGCCATCATGTTATGATCTGGATTTGAATTCTACAATTTCTTTTCCCAACAATTAGTCCCAACTTTGTTTGAGCGGGTTGCAGGCATCAGATTCTGAATTTGTTTATATTTACAAAATGCAATTAAGTTAAAACACTGAAAAAGTTAAATAAAGCTTCAAGTGAATTAATAAATCACAGATTTGAGGTTTTATTGCATTTTGGAAAATGTCCCAAGTTGTCTGGAATTGAGGTTTGTAACATGTTTACTTTTTTTTCTGTTCTAGCTAAAACCAGCAGTGCCTCCTCCACCCAAGGTGACCCCATCTAAGGACCTGAAAACAGAGAACATCATTAATTTTTTTGACACTGCATCTACTCCTGGTATCAGTGTCATCTCCCCTACAGAGGTTAGTGAGCTGCTGCTGTCAACAAACTGTGCAAGAGCCCTTTAACGCTCCCTTTTCAGTGGAGGTCAGAGCTGTTAAATATTACTTCCTCTGGCCTGCCCCCTCCTAGTTCATCTATTCTGTTCTACTCCTTGCCCCTTCTGTTGCACCCACTTCACCAATGAGCCATACTATTCCTGTTGTTATCAGTTTGACAGTCCCGCAGTGAGCAGCCTATTGGACATGGACCTGGACTCTTTCAATGCAGCAACCAAAGCCTCCACAGTCATACAGGTGGATGATCAATGACATGAACGTGTAGATCAAAACCCCTCCACTGCAAGAAATGCCAAGCTTCACAAGAAATTTTATGCTCTATTCACTTCATGATATTTAAGTCCAAATGAACGGTCCGTCAGACTGTAATGCTGTGGAGTGAGGATGCTTTCTTTTCCAGTTAAACAAGTTGGACAGATGATAAAGTAACAGTTCAGGTTTTCCTCTACTGGAAATCATCAGGACCAGTGGCCAGTGTAGCTGTTTGACTTAAAATATGTTGAAGTAAGCTTGAAAAGACTGAATATGAAATGAAATCTCTTGGAAAGCTTGGCATAGTTTGAGGTGTTACCTGCTCTGCCTCTTTCCAACTTTCCAAATGGGATGAATGATGGCATGCTGATCTATAGAAACCTGCGTCTAGTGACTACTTCTTCCTGCTTCAGCACAATCCGCAGATCACTCATGGCATGAATTGTAGACTGTAGCCCTGCTCTGTTCTTACTTCTTTCTCTTCAGAACTGGACAAATGTAGTTTTAAATACAGGAGTGATTCGAGTTGTGCTCAGTTTATCTTAACACACAGATGATACGGTAGTAGGTACCCATGTTGTGTGTGCATCTTTGTTTTAATATTAGGACAATTATAATTTATTATTTAACTGTAAAAAATATTTTTAGCCCTTGATAGTCTGAATACTACCCCCCATGTATGAAGGTACAGCCTCCACCTATCAGAGAGAGTTGAGCAGTATCCTGCATGAAGCATGAGGAGTGAGCCCCTAGATAAAATAAACCCAGCAAGTCACTTATGACTGCTCATTATGCTTAATGCTGTGAGCACAAGATAATAGTCTATGGTGATGCAGCTGGACTGTATCAACATTTATTCACCTCTTTTTTTCTCATCTGGATTTCAACACCTAGATAGTAGGAAGATATTGTATCCTCTGCACAGCAGCCCTGCTGTTAAGACACAGCTTCCTAATGCCAGCAAAACTGTTTTACCTTGCTGATGGGAATGATTTTAGATACAGTAAATACGTGAGAGAACCCATCTCTGCAGGCTTACATCATCTAGTACTTCTTACTTGTGCCTGTCCTCTGCTCTGCTGGAGATCTTCTGCTATGGGCTTGTCAGTTAATAGCATGGGATCTGAACTAGAAATGTCTTATTGAATGCAATGGGCATAAACAAGACCTTTGAAAAGAGTTTTGTTGTTTCTCCTCATTCTGTTTGCTTTTCTGTTTCCCACAGCCTGCAAACTGGGATTCATGGGTAAGCAGAGCATCCTCGTCCTAAAAAGATGTTTGAAATAATGGCAAAAACATATAATTCTAATTATGATCATCATCTTTATCAGCATATTGTGTTCATATTAACCATCAGTTTATTTATCTTTGTTTGCATTTACTAATTATTTGTGTCAGAACCCACTCTCCTTATGCTAGCTGCTATATGCATGTATAATGTAAGGACTTCTATAATGGCCATTTCTGGATATAAACCATCTTTTACATAATAAATCTCTTTTGTTTGTGCGTCCCAAATCTGTTTGTGCGCTCTCCTTGTGTCTGCACTGAAATAATAGTTGTTCATCACAAATAGAACTTTGGAATGAGCTCAAGTCAATTCAGTTTCAAACATATGTAACACTTGCAGGGTGCAGCCTGACATGACAGGCCCATAAAGGTCTGATTGCAAGACGCCATCTACTGGTGTACAAACATGCACATTCTAGTGGCACAAATTTAACTAAGGTTTTAAATCTTGTGTTTAATGATTTGTAACTGAATTGACCTCCTTTTTTTCTGTTGCCCCTCGTGTCCCTCTATGTTCACATGTCACGTCAGACTGACAGAACATGTACCTGTTACATGTTTAGCCACAGCAGATGCTCCATGTGACACACAGGGAACAGTTACGCTCGGAAAGTTGAGTGAAGTTCCTCATGTTAGCAGTGGATTGTTTATAGAAGTGAAAGCTGGTGAGCAACTTCACAAAGCCTTGCTTGCAACTTGGCATTCTGACCATCAAATAACCCTTTTGTTCATCCCTATCACTGTTAAGAGAGATGTGTCTCACCAACCACACAGAGTTGCTGTGTTAGAGCATAAGGCAGAGCAGCGATGGCTCACAAAGGAATGACACGCCTTCTCTTACAAAGCTTCCTTCCTCTCTCCATCTGAACATAGTGTGGGAATATACAGTGAACCATGCTTGCAAGCTACACACAGAAGATCCAGCATCTATCTTCTGATGGAAAAGGGCTGACTATTTTTTCTTTCCTGCCTTCTACTGCCACCTTTTCTTACCGCCATTTGTCTTTTGATTTAGTCTGAATCTTCTCTGTAAAGGTCTTCCTCTTGGGTCTTATGATGATAATGATGATGATGATGACTGAACTTTACCCATTGATGTTCATGGCATCTTTTATGGCCTTGTTTCTGCTCATACGTCTAGAACAGCTCCAATTATGACAAATAGGTTGAGTCAAAATAATGCTTGACACCGTTTCCCCAGAGCCCTCATGCATATTTACAAGCATGCTTTACAGTTAGGCTGTCGGCAAAGTTGTGCTTTGAGTGAAATGTTAATGTCATGTTAACATGCTAACATGCTGACAATGGCAATGCTAACTCACTAATGATGTGTGGATTTAATGTTTATTATATTCACCAAGCATGGTAGCATGCTAACATTGGCTAATTAACAATAAATACAAACTACAGGCTGATGGGGATGCCATTTTGCAGTTTTTTGCCCATAATTAAGTAAAATGTTTATGTGATATAAGAAAAAAAGACAGATGATCAACAAAATTAATAGAATTGAATTGTATTAATCAAAGTATACTACCAGTCAAAAGATTGGACATACTTTCCCTTTGCATTGAATGGGAAAGTGTGTCCAATCTAATTACACCCCCAAAACAGTAAACCTTCTGGTACTATAGGAAATATTAACAAAATAACCAGGAATCTTCCTCTGGGTATCCTGAATGTTTGTACCAAAATTCACTGGAATCTGTCCAATAGTTGGTTTTAGTTTTGACCAAAGTGGCTGAACAACCAGCAGTTCTCCTTTTTTTTTATCCCCTTACCTACTATTGTAATAGTACAACCCTTATGCAC